TCAGCTGGAGCCCCTTGGGAACGGTCTTGATGTCCCTGGCTCTGCGTAGGAATTCAATGTGCAACTATTCTTTCTTCAGTTTTACGATGATCTCATAGTTTCGGAATATGATGCTGATACCGGGTCCGTACCGCACCTCCAGTCGTTGTTTGAAATTTGTAAACAATGTGGATGTTACAAAACTTTTATTCGACACTTCCATTATCTGTATAATTTTTGAGGTCACGACGTTTAGATTGATGTGGTATCTTAAATCGTCTTTAGATTAACTGACGAACATCTTCGATCAGTTGCTACTTATACTTATCGAAGGTTTCGTGTTGTTTAGGTAGTCTGCTCCATGGTTCCAGATTATAAACATGTCATCCACCTGTCGATGCCATCATTTCACGTTTTTTCCGCTATTGCGATGGCCACTCAAACCAATTCATATATAGGTTTTCCAGAAATGGAAACAGCGGTAATCCCATCGGTAGCCCATCTCTCCTGAATTAAATGTAAAGCCTCTTCCACGGGAACGTTACTGTAGAGGCTTTCTATGTTAAAGCTTATTAGACGATCCTCTGGTTCGATGTTTGTCTGTTGGAGTATCTCCACGAAGTGCTTCGAGTCATTGACACACGACAATGTTTTTCATTCTAATGGTTGTACTATTGGCAGCAGATGTTTGGTTGGGTTGAATGTTGGCGAGCCCCTTGAACTAGCTATAAGTTGGAGTGGTAGCCCTTCCTTGCGAATCTTTGCTAGTCCATAGAGATGATGCAGAACTGCGGTGTTACTGTTCTTCTTTCCTGTTTTATTAGGTAATCATTGTATCTCCTCAGCTTCCGGTATAGTTGTTCCTCGATCTTGCGTGTTGGATCCTCTGACAGTCGCTTTTAACCTCCCTTTCCCATACTTTCCTTTAGTATGTGTCGGCGTCCATGATGACGGTATCTTTCCACTCATCCACCACAATATATGATGTATGTGTTATCGAGTGTCTTCAAGGCACGTCGTTCTTGTTTCGTTATTTTACTCTTGATCGATTCACTATTCTCCAAGATATGTCTTACTTTCCATTTGAATTCTCCCACCTGGCCTTAATCCACTATTGTACGCCGCTGATGATACCCCGCATACGGATTTCCTTTGGTTTTGTAGAACTCTTAGAAGCTTAATTAGTTACTAGATCTGGCATTGATATTTTTGCATCGTTGAAATGATGAGACAAAGTATGTATTTTATAATAGTCTGCATCATATTGTGGAAAATGGATGTTCGGTTAATGCAACAATCACAGCTGTTACAGTTCCTTTCACGGTCTTCAACGGATTTATTTGTGTAAACTCACAGACATAGGTTTTTTCAGTTTTGTCTCAGCACTTACAGATTTTCTCGTCAACATGTGAGTCGTCCACATTTATGCATGTCACTGTCAGTAGGAAAAACTCTAGTTGATCTCCGATATAAAATTTAGCAATGCTTGTAGACACAACTACTCGTACAGTGTCGACCATCTGTCTTAAATTTTTTGGATTATTTTCAAAGAGTGAATGAAATCAACGACCTTCCGTTACGCAATTCAGGTGTGTGTGCAAGAGCAATTAGGAGCCGCGTTAAGGATCGGCTTGCGCAGTGTGTTTCTTTAGGAAACGTGAGCTCAATTGGTACATTTAGGTGGATCTGTTTATTTATTCTGTATTACATTCTGACGTTACCGCCAAAAACTGTGAGAAGACTGTACTTTATTCAGCTCCAGTATGAATGTAGCAGTTTCAAAACATTTTCTGTCAGCTTGGCAGCTTGAACAGCTTCCTCAATAGATATGGCTATGAGCGAACCGCCAAACCAAGAGCAGTTGGCTCATGGATCGCTATGGCTTTGTTGTAAACCAATAATGCAGGCCCAACCAAAGCCAATGAAGCCGTCCGTCAGGTTTCAACAACACTCTACGCAATGTACTCTCTTGTTATAACTACGATTCCCAACTTTTTTAACTGTACAGGTTAGGTAATTTAAGAACTGGCCATTCTTGGTTTTATCGGCAAAATGAAAGCATCATAATCGCACTAACAGAGGTAATAAGAGAGGACACGGGGTAAAATGTCTATAAATTGCGTCTGTTGGCTATCGTGCATTCTCATCTTAAGTACAGTTTGACAAAGCTAGCTTTGGTCAGATGAGCGGTAGACACGGCGGAATGTAGTGGGGACACCCCAGTACAAACCAGCTGCGATAGAGGTAGCATCGTGGGTACAGCTCCACTAAAAATTTTAATTGCATTAGCTATAGGTTGTTTTAATTTATACTCGAAGGTTCTGAAAAATGGAGAGTAAAGTTGCAAATAAGGTTTTAAGTGGTCAAAGCCGAGAAATTGCTGCCTCGGTATTGAGATTCATGCAGAATGAAGCTGAACGTGCAGTGGCTGTTTCTTTACGCAGAGTAAATATAATTATGATTACAATAAATTACGATTACTATTGCGATTATTACTATGATTATTATTATTATTTTTATTATTATTATCATTATTTGGTTGGACCTAGTGTGAGAGCAGTTCATACTTATTATTATTATCATTATTATTATTATCATTATTATTATTATCATTCTTATTATTATGCAGATTCGAAAATTTAGCAACAATGAAAAATAAATTACTTTGAGAAGACTTTGTCTAAAATGCATATGTTCGTTCACGAAATTTTGCGTATAGTAACCATTAATGAAGGTACAATATAACACTTTATCGCAGAAAGATTTCAAATTATCTATGGGTCCTTTTTCATTAAAAACTATTATAAATTATAGATACAAGAACGGCACGGGCATCGTGTAAAAAACCTATAAAACGTAAAAAAAACCTATAAAATGTCAACTTGCAGACTAGGTAGTTTTTAGGGCGCAAACACTCATTCCACGTTTACTCACTAGGATCGTTGTGAACGTCCATCTATGGAGGAATCACTCAACTAAACTACGCATTATTGATTGCATAGTTTTGTGAGGCTGAGTGATCCGGGTCTATAGTTTTATCTCTGAGAAGAAAGTTGGTTGAATGGCAAGATCGCATTTGGATGATTATGTGAGTAAACTTGATTATTAATTACTTATGTGTATTGGTCTGCATGTGTATAACATCAATGATATTTGCTGTGTGAGAATATCATTACTGAATATGCCGAATATGACGGGTTATTTATATGTTGTGCTTTTTGAAGAAAGGTTATGTTCAAAGTTATAAATTACGAAAAACTGAGGAGAATTACGGGAAATCATCATCGCGCCCGCGTTGTCTGTAATTACTGTTAGCATGTACGTATATATGGCTTGTAATTCGACAGTGTACAGTGAATATAATTATTTCTTATCTCTCTCATTTTTGAAATTCAGCAAATTTATATATGTAATTTCCAGAATGGATAAGAAAAGGTGGATGCGCAGCTAATTTCTAGTTTTGAATCTCAGTTAAGTGTATTTGAGACCAGAACCCAATGTAATTATCATTAACACATACAACTTTCAGGTCAGACCTCCAGTAATGCCGTCTCTGAAGCAGATTTTACATCACATCAGGGCCAAAGATTAAGCGTTGAATATACAAGAGAACAGCACAATTTCATTTTCTACACCAAACAAAAGGAGAAATATTAATAGTAAGGTGGCTCTGGATGCTTTCGATAGAGGATTGTTACGAAGAACAATAATAAACTTTCATGTAACCAAGAAACGTGTACCTACCTTGCAATGTGTACACAGGAAGATGACTATGAGCTAGTAGGATATCGAGGAAGCAGAGAAGCAGTTATAAATTAGGGTTTAAGTGGTAACGATTTGAGACCAGTAGAAAATTATTAATGGAAAAACCAGAAATTCGCCATTTACGTATAATGCTGTATGCAGAAATATAGACAAGAAGGACGTCCAGTGATCTGTATCCCAAAACCTGGGTAGATGGCTCCACGGAAGGCATAAAAGACCGGTATCCAAAGGGAACAGATTGATTATTCTCCATACCGACAGTGAAAACGGATTCATACTTAATGCGTATGTGAGATGGAAATCTACGTGTCGTACAGGCGACTACATATAATGAGATGGATTTTGACAATTATAAAAAGTAGTTGGAAGAAAAGTTAGTTCCAAACCTACCTCCCAAAAGCATGTTTGTTATAGACAACGCACCGTATCATAATAAACAAAGCCCATCTTCCTCAACCACCAAAGCAGAAATTATGATCTAGCTTCGTCACAGAAATATCTTTTTTATGGACGACATGCTTAAGCCAAAACCGTACAATTTGATAAAACTGCATAAGCCTGCTTATAAGAAGTTTGCAATAGATAAAATTATGCTTGATGCTGGACACGATGTATTAAGATGGCCACCATATCACCCCGACTTGAACCATATAGAACTCGTATCGGCAGCAACGAAATCTCACGTACCATGTCTCAATATCGATTTCAAATTTTCTGCTGTTTTAAAACACTGCGATGAGTTTTTTAATACATTTGGGAGTGATAAGCGGAAAACGGGATGCGATCAAACAAAGAAGCTGGAAAAAGAATTTATAGAACGCGAGCCCGCGGTTGATAGAGTTGTGGATGAATTCGCTATCAATTTAAATCAAACTGACAGTGATAGTGATTTCTTGGAAAGTGAAGATGAATATTCAGAAGGAGAGGAGGAAGATAGCAGAATTTTGGGTGTAGGGGACTCTATAGTGTATGAAACCAATTCTGATAAGACGTACATCAATCTTTGAGACTGATGATGATAAATAAAAGTGTTTGCAGATTCATTCCTATGCGATACGTGTAAAATTCTCTAAAGGTGCTGATAGTTTGGATAGTAAACTGTTGATCCATTTAAAAAATTTCTAAAATGACAACAGAATCTTTATCCTGAAGCTTTTTCGTATTATGTTTTTCAGTTAGAATCAATATTTCTTTCCCTATTTGAGAAATTAAGCTTAGAGCAGGGCATACTCGTATCTCATAAATTGTGGGACATCATGAAAGATATAGAGTTACAACATCCTTGTACACAATTTACTGTTTTCAGAAAAGGTCTAAACATTAGGCTCAGAAGAGCTGAGGCACGTTTTTTATGAAGGGTTATCACCCTATTCAACTAGATTCAGTGAATATGCGACCATTAAGCAATTAGCTAATCAATCAATCCCTTAATGAAAGAATTGCATCCCAACATTTTTTTCGTAAAGTTCTAGTGAAATGCCTAATTGGGATGGCTTTTATAAATTTCTCTCAGTTTAGTTGGTAAGCGAAGTCAAGGGTTGTCTACGAAGGGCGAATTGTAATCGTAAAATAGGTAGCCCTTCATCAAATTAAATGAAATAACAGAAATTGGCACGCTGTAACTGAACTTTCCGCGCCGACTGTACTTCTATATCCGTCGGCTATTACCGGTTCTCTCAGACATCCACCGTCTCACTCCGTTTTCTGCGCATCTCGCGGCTCAAGCTGGATTTGCCGAACTGTAACTGGAGCAGTTATTTACCACTGGTATTTTCCAAAGTCAAGAAACCTTTATATTACAGAAACATTCAGCAATTGTCAACTATTCGCAGTGTTAGGTGCTTCTTAAAATACTCGTATAACTAAAAATCCTCTTTTGCGGGAAACGAAAGGAGAGAGCAGAATGTCGTGAACTTCGCGCCTTGAATCGTGTTTGGGAGTTGAAAGGCGAAAATTTAAACGGTGTCATCTGAAGGGAGTTAAAATTCCCAAAGTTCGACCGCGCTTTAAAACAGTCTTCTTCAGATTCAATTTACGCCGCTCGTTCTTCTGAAATCTAATGATATTAGGCGATCGTGCCGTCGAGTGAGGGCGACTATAAGAAAGTGAAAGAAGATGCTTTTTGGGGTGTTGTAAACGGTCGTAAAGTTCGCCGGTTGAGAAGTTAACTCAAGTGTTCAATTGCTGAACAGTATACGTGGCAAAATAAGGACAAGTATTTTGTACATTGAACGGCAGGGGTATTACGTATCTTGAAAAGTGATATTGTGTCGTTTTTTGACATTATATAGGTTTTGTGTGACATTAGTATGTAGGGTTGTCATTTAGGTTTTTCGGGCTGTTGAGCTGTGGTCGGGTTGTATTTGATTCAGAGCTTTCGGCTACATCTGCGATAGCCATCTTCAAAGGCGCTGTCGGCAAAAGCGAGGTGATCGGCTTGGCGGGTCAGCTGAAACTCATCGGTCAACTGGATGGGCGTGCGGTTTTATAGGCGATCGGCGGACCGAGGACTGAGCTGTCTGGTGGAGGTACTCTGGGTCCCTTGAGTGACGTGGTTTTTGAGCTGTGTTTTTTAGAATTGGAAACCACGTTTTGTTTAAAGCAAGGCCTTCTTCTTTACTATTGAAATTATCATTGTGTTTATAGATTTTAATTGCTTCTCTGTACATTCGGGCTGAGTAGTGGGTGGATGTTGATAGGACTTCAGTTTGGTCGAACAGAATATTGTGGCCGTCTTGGAGTGCGTGTTCGGCCACCGCTGATTTATCAGTTTGTCGAAGTCGACAGTTTCATTCATGCTCCTTGATGCGTGTTTGAAAGATACGTTAAGTGTGCCTACGTATACTTTACCACAGGAACACGGTATTCTGAATACGCCGGCACCGCTTAGGCGGTCCCTAGGGTCCTTTACTGATGTGAGGAGTTGCTGGATTTTATTTGTCGTCTTGTAGATGGTCTTGACGTTGTGTTTCTGCAGCAACCTTCCTAATCTATCCGTAATGCCTTTAATGTATGGTAGGAAGGAGACTTCCGTAGGTGGTTCCTTGCGTCCTGTCGGCGGCATGCTTTTTTGTCGTGAAACCTGTTTTAGTAGTTCCCTTCGATAGCCGTTTGCTTGTAAAACCATGTTAACTTGACCCAGTTCCCCCTGCAGGTATTATGGTTCACAAAATCGGTGTTCCCTGTCTATCAGATTTTTAATGACACCTCTTTTTTGTCCAGGATGATGGTTGAAGTCCTTGTGTAGATATCTGTGTTTGTGGCTTTGCGGTAAACTCTGTGACCCAGAGCTTTAAGTTATCTTGTCTGACCACCAATACGTCCAGGAAGACCAGACGATTGTCCTCTTCTATCTCCATTGTGAATTTGATTTTGGGGTGAATGCTGTTTAGGTGATTTAGGAACACTGCTAGTTCTGTTCTTTCGTGGCTCCATACCACGAAGGTATCATCCACATACCGTAGTAAACAACTGGGATGATTGGGGGAGGTGTTCAGTGCTGCTCCTCAAATTTTTCCATGTAGAAATCGGCTATTACAGGATATCCTCTGGAAAAACTTGCTTTAGGTAATCCAGTGATAGGTCTAGTGGGGCATTCGTGAAAAGTGGAACTACATCAAAACTGATCAAAATGTCGTCTGGCGTGAGCCGAATGTTCTGTGTCTTTCTTATGAAATCGGTGGAGTCCTTGACATACGACTGGCAGTGACCGATTTGAGGCAGGCGCATGTTCGTTAGATGTTTCGCTAGTCCATAAGTAGGTGACCCGATCGTCGTAGCTTCTAAGCACGCATCAAGGAGCATGAAGAAAACTGTCGACTAGGACAAACTGATAAATCAGCGGTGGCCGAACACGCACTACAAGACGGCCACAATGTTCTTTCTGCATTGATAATATTTAAGATCCATCTTATGATTTACGAGCTTTGGTTTTTAGTAAATAGTGAAACTAAGCCTAGCGTAAGACGAATCGTTATTATCAATTTGATTTAAACACTTCAATTCTCAGTCTCAACCGCAGGTGACACAAATTCAACTTTCCTCCACAATGGAGTTTTATTTGTTTTAACATGCCACTATTGTTGCATCGTTAATTAGTCACTCTATGAGTTTTGATTTTCTGGCAACTCTGAGCATACACGTATGTCGTAATTCAAATACTTTCAGATGTTTCGAACGTAATTGAAATATTCCAAGTTTATGTATATTAGGTAAAATAAAAATGTCCAGACCGTAAGTATTTTCTTCTTAGTTGTATGTCATACAACATTAGATAAGCTAACTTTAGCTTCTAAATTTACTGAAAAAGTTGCTTATAACACAATTACTATACTTTAGGAGACCCTCTTAACACTAGAATGCCTTATTATTCTCCTTATCCACTTCATGAGCAATTTAGGGAGATATCCTTTGTAGAAACATTACATATAAAGACTTCATGTATTATGGCACCCTGGGTGACACATGTAGCCCGCGCATGCGCTCTACTATTTAAATAAAGGGGGAGGTAGTTCTAATACTATTAACCGTTTTTTGTATATATGTATTTAAGATATTTTTACATGGGAATTGAAGAGTAAAGATATGGTATAATTAAGTCTACTTTCTAGTAAATTGTTTCATTTGTATTACAAGAGGCGTAGTGGTATATACTACTATGTACAAGGTGTCCAGGAATAAATTTTCCTTTTTGAACTCGATTAACTTGGCAACAGTGTGACTTGAGCGTTGGTGTGGTACGCATCGTGCGTTCATTATTGAGACATATTTCAAGAACAATGACTCGTACAAGATTTCAAGAGGGAGGTTTTGTGCTCACTTCAGTATTAGGCGCGTGGAGGACGCACCAAGTAAAAACTTAGTGAAATCGTGGGAGCAGAGGTTTAGAGAAACATCGCCAGCATTAAATGTGAAACGCCCTGGTCGTCCAAGGACAGTAACTACTCCTGAGAATGTTGAAGCTATACGCGCCACTATGATTCAAAATCCAAGTGGATCCGTTCGTAAAATATCACAGGTGGTGGGATTGCGTAAATCATCTTTTCATACAATTTTAAGGAGGGCTTTAACGCTTCATCCCTACGAGATCCAAATAGTGCAAGAATTATGCCCAAATGACTATACTAACCGCCGTTCCTTCGCTATAACAATGATAAACCGTTTTTTTTTGCAAACGACCGAATTAACAACATTTCTGTTCGGTGACGAGGCGCACTTTCACCTTTCAGGCGCAGTTAATAAGCAAAATTGTCGCTATTGGGTACCAGAGAATCCAAGGCAAAAACATGAAAAGACCCTACATAGCCCAAAAGTAACTGTGTGGTGTGCAATGTCGGCTTTAGGAATTATCGGTCCATTCTTTTTTTAGAACCAGTGTGGCATAGCCCAGGCTGTAACTAGTGATCGTTATTGTGCAATGCTTCGGGAGTTTTTGGTACTTCAGCTACAAGAATTTGATGGCTTTGATCAAGAAACATGGTTTCAACAAGACGGCGCTACCGCACATACAGCCCGAGCATCTATGGAAGTCGTTCGAGAATTATTCCCGAAAAGGTTAGGAAGGGATACCTTAAAAGTAAAGTTTAGTTAATCGCCCTAGGACTTTGCAGGAATTACAACAAAAAATACTGGACAAAATTAGAGCAATTACACCCGAATTATGTTTAGCAGTTTTTAACCACATGAAGACGGCATTGCAGGGGTGTTTCTACCGAAATGGAAGGCACCTCGACAATATAAATTTTGAAACATGAAATCCGACTGTATTGTGTATATTTCTGTTTCAACAAATTAATTTGAAAACTTCAAGACATTTTTGTATTAGCCTTTTAAAATGGAAATTTATTCCTGGACACCCAGTATATTGGGATTGTCGCTGGGGTAGTAGATGGCCGTCTGCTGGTGAATCGTGGAGGTACCCGGCAAGTCTCTAGGGCGGGATCAGTGTGCATGGAATATGCACACAATATTGCATGCACACGTGTTCTCTCGCTAGAGTCCATGTGACGTCCGCACCTTCCCCTTCTATCCCCCTAAAGCCCCAGGGTACTCTCGGTCTTAGGCTTTTGTCGTGGTCCAGTTATAAAAAAGAGGTACTCAATATAAAAATAATACCATGTAGACATAAAACCATTGATTAACATATTGTACTTAAAGATTGCCAATCGCGTATTCGGCGTCCGGAATTCAAGATGAAATGAGATATCCAGGCATCATCTATGGGAATCTTCCACAGCTACGTACCTCTGTCCGCAATAATTATAAATGTACTTTGATTAAAAGAGTGTCTCATAGATACTCCATCCTCGCACGGTGGGGACACCTTATACGTACATACTTCAAAC